ATTATATTATATTATATTATATGTATTTATTTTTTATTTATGTATGTATACCGTATGTGTGCAGAGCACTACATGCTCAGTCTTTTGGGACAGGGCTGGTGTATCGAAGCAGCATCGGCACAGACAGAATTGCTGAACACATGCAAGCCAGGAATTTCGTGAATGCTATACTGAACATCACGTGTGGTCCCAATGGTCAAACGGCAACGAGCCTTCTGCAGATCTGGCATCTCAAGCGGACAAGTGCTTCAATGCTGCCCGAAGAAGGGTGGACAGAATGACGACTCATAGTGCCAACTCACAGCTCTACACCCAGATCGAAACCCAATCCCGAAGCACTGAAACCCATACCATCAATTAACAAATCAATCAAAACATCCGACAATCACCGGATAAGAGGAGCCATGACCGCAGTGCGCCTGACATGTGCTTCATCGCACCCTGCTTCTTCAGCTTGAAGCTGATCTCGTACTTCTTCCAGTCCTTGTGTGCTGTCAATGCTTTTCTACTCTGGAAATGGGGCCTTGTTTTGCGTATAAATGACTTTAGAAACCCAGCGTCGGCGAGGGCAGACGGCACTACAAGAAGTCAGCATAGTCAGTAGACATGGAAAGCATCTGTCTGCATGGGCTAGGCCCTAGGCTACAGAGTACATATCTTGCTGTGCATATTTCTCCCGGGTGTGCGTGTGCCACGGTACTGTTCTGTAGCGAACACACTGCACTGCAATAGTCATAGTAGAACATAACATTTTGCATTGCAAGCAAGCATATATTGATATGCTACGCGATAACGTTTGAACCTGGGTATACTGCTGCCTGCGACTGTACGAAAGTATTTATCGTAGCTTGTCAGTTCTGTCATGCGCTCGTAGTGCTATACAGCGCACTGCGACTGTTTATAGCAGGATTTAGTACGTTGAGGTTCGGCGTTTTGGACATCGACTTCCCCTTCCGAGAATCGGTAGCTTTATCCTACAACAAGGCCCCACAACTTCCACCGGCGCCTCCTTGGCAAGCACGGTGGACTCGAAGTTGATGGGGATTCCTGGCCGGCGTTGTGCTTTGGCATTGATCCACCGGGGAAATCCGATTCTTCCGAAACTTCAGCTCGGCTGGAGTATAGGGTTTATAGGGTTTATAGGGTTTAGGAGGATCTTCAACAGCTTCGGACCTCAAAGCAGAGGATTCAATCCGAAGCTTCGATATTTCTTTTGTAGGGTCAAATCTCTGAGCCTTGAGAAGAGCCCAAATGCAACGGCGACAACCAGCTCTCAACAAAGCTCTTCATTACCAGCAATGCGGAAGCACGTATCTAATCCTCCTTTGGGTGCATGCAACGCTGCAGCTTCTCCTGGACCAGAAGAAGCGCTCGTCTAAATCCCCAAACTCGCTGATGCTAACATAGTCTCGAAATTCCTTGCCTTGAAACCTACAGACAAGGCGTAAACCCTAGAAACACGAACACAACAAGTCCGGCCCCGGCAAGAACTGGCTCCCACCTTTCGGAAAATTGGAAAGCTGGTCAACGCTTCTTTGTCCCAGGAAGGCCCGGAATTCCCTGGGCCCACCCTAAAAGTTCACCGCTATCCCCCGCGCCTAGCAAGGTCCAGCGGCCCGTCTTGCTGACCTCGAAGGTTCGCGTCTTGGACTCCTCCCAGGTTTCACGGCTCCTACTTAAACTGAATCGTTGTAGGATTTTTAGGGTGGAGCTGGCAGGGTTCCTAAAGCCCTCAGCCGGGGGGTCGGCCCTTGTTGCCGAAATCCCATGCCTAGCACGAGAAGCTCTGAACTGTCCCAGTGTACTCTCGTTGCAGAAATTTAAACGGCTTGAACCGTAGGGAGCAAGGCGGGCACCCGCAGGATTTGGGGCGTCAGGATAGTAACCAACAAATCGGCATGCCAGCAAGCAGCAAGAACGAGAGACCTAAGTTCGCACTAACAGTACTCAAACTGGTACTATAGTAGTGCTATAGTGACTATAGTGACCTTGTATAATTTCTGTAGAATTACTGCTGCAAGGATAAGATAGTAGTGGGGCTACTGACACAGGAAGTCCGCCTCGTCCTCCTGAACTAGCCTTCGGAGATTCACCGAGGCGCAATTATCGAAGATCCTCTTGTTCTCCTGGCTCCAGGGTGTTGTGATTTTTTCCCCGTTGCATTCTAACACGTTCCATTCCCTTCTTCGTGGGGTTCCGGGTTTCGGCTAAGGAAGGGCCTTCAGGATTCCAAGCCAAGGTTAGTTTGCAGCTTCCAGATTCCCGAGCTCGGAAGCTGAGTTTTGGTAGCAGCAGAGCACGGAGACACACACACACACTTGCAGACC